CCGTTAGCATTAGCCTTGTTAGCTAACATTCTCAAAAGTGAGGGTCATGGCCGACACACGATTCATCACATGATAAAGTTCATGCTGAGTCATCAGTAACATCAGATAAGATAAGATAAGATAAGTTAAGATAAGATAAGTTAAGATAAGATAAGTTAAGATAAGATGAGATAAGAGTCTGCTCATTGAGAAATTAAACACCACACTGTAAAAGCCATTTAATGGCAAAATTCACATTCGGTTCTAAAAAATGAAATTTGCCAATTTGTGACAGCATCATGTAAAAACTTGGTGCCGAGTTTAGACAGTAGTAAATGAAAGTGATATGATGGAAATACTCTGTCGACGTTCTAAAGGTCAACTGAGCATATTATGGTTTACAGGCTATATTTCACACAAGGCACATTAGTTGTTCTGTGAACAGCAGCTCACATGGATGTGTTCAACATTAACATCCACAGAGTATTTCACCTGAATAAAGGTGCAACTCAAACCATCAACACGTCTACCAGTGAAGCACAACTCTAATATTTCTATGAGCAGCAACAACACAATATGAACACTCGCCTCGAGGCTGGGTTGGGGTCAAAATGACAGAAGTCGAAGCAGCAGTCATTTTCAAACGATATTTTAAACAGGAAATAGAATTGCAGACAGCTCATCACATGGCTCAGTGCCTCAGATGTTTGGATGACAGGAGCAACATACAAATATGAAATGATGTGTAATACTGGGTCAGAATAATGCCTGGCAGGTACTGCTCTCCGGTTCAAAGTAGCTGCTGCACACGATGTCGTCCACTTCAGTGTGAAATCCAGGATGAGAGGTGTGAGTACACGGTAGTTCAGGGGTCGCTCCACAGGTGTGAGCAACAGGCCTCCTGGTGAGTCCAGGTTCAACGTAAAGCCAACGATTTATCAACACACGACAGAAGAACCAGGGCAGGAACACAGCATGTTTCACTCACGTCACTGTCCGAGGAATGGAGGGAACCTACACTGCATTCATCCACAGCTGAGGGTTGATTTGTCCGAGGAGCTTCTTCTTTTGTGCAAACCGAAGGATCTTCAGTTGCGTTTGCTCATAAAGTCCATCTACAGTGGAATCTCGAGGAATTAGCTTTCTTTTAAAATCACGTGGAGGGGGAGGGGTTAGTGTTCGGGCTGTACAGTCATGGAAACAGACATTTTTCAGACCCACTTCCAACCGAGGGCTGTGAGAATTCTATTCAGTTTTATTTGTAGAGCGCCGAATCCTCAAATCCATCGTCTCCAGGCTCTTTACATAGAAGGTCAAGACCCTCGACTCTGACGTAGCATAGAGAATCACCGGCGAGGTGGGAGACACACACACAGATGTAGTATTTTCTCCATTGAGAAGGATTTTAAAATACACACACTACTTGCAGTATCTCACTTTAATATCGTTTGAATGTTTTCTGGTGAAAACTCTCTGGCGTGCTCACATGACATGTTCCTGCAGACCCCCCCCCATCCCCTGGTGGTTCTGTTGTATTTGTAATGGAGCCGGTGCAGATTCCAGTTGAGGAATAAACGAGTGAGTGCACGTTCCTCTCTGCTGCATCACGAACACACTCAGGGTTCTGTTCGCCTGCATGATCACGGCAGCAGCTGCTATTTTCCATCGTGTTCAAATCCTGATTGTTAGCGTTGTTAGCATTGACGCTAGCTCCGTCACTTTCCCCGGCTTTACTTATTGTGACACTGACTCGATGCTACACCCGCCTCGTCTCTTTGCATTGTCATGGTGTCTTCTTGCGGGACCTGTCTCCGATGAAGACACGTCTCCAGCTCCTCCTGCGTGGCTCCTACATGTCCCTCAGAACTGTGCACGGGTCTGCGACTAGCCTGAGTAGCATCTGTCGCATGCTAACCTCACCCGGAAGTACACTGACGTCAACGAGGAACTTTTTTTCTCTCTCCTCTATGTCCCTTCCGGGTATCCGTACTTCCCCAGACTGAAGAGCAGGCGATCAAGTTCACCGTCCAAACCAGAGTTAACCAAACTAAACCAGAGTTAACCAAACTAAACCAAAGTTAACCAAACTAAACCAAACCAAACTAATCGTCCTCTGAGTGAGTCCAGCTACAGGAGACAAGAGGAAACCTACAACCTGCCCTCGCTCCACACTCTGACCGTGAGTTTAACAAACACCTCGACTCAAAGTGAAAGTAAAACTCAGTGAAGCTGGAGGAGCTGTGAACAAGGTGTTTATAGTTTAGACGTTTTCATCAGTTTCTATTGAGTTTTTCAGTTTGCTTTTTGATTTCAGTTTGGTTTTAGTTAGTTCAACAAGTGATTTTGTAGTTTCAGTTTAGTTTTGATTTAGTTTGAGTTTTTCCAGGTATTAAGAGAAAGCCTCGACTTGTAGAAGCTGAAAAAGGATGAAACACTGTGTGACACCAAATATGGTTCATCAAGTCCTTTAATTTCTCTCTTCAACCATCACCTGCAGGACAGGAAGTCATCGAGGGAGAAAACAAAGTTGCATTTATCTGCAATTCAGTTTAGTTTTAGTTAGTTTTGAATTGTTCATTGTAGTTTTTATTTAGTTTTCATGTTTTTTGTAATTGTCGTTTTTTTTTTATTTCAGTTAACTAAATTATTTTTTCATTGCTAGTTTTAGTTTTGGTTAACTATAATAATCCTGGCTGTGACTGACTGTACTGTCTGTTTTCAGCTTCACCTGGAGACTCAATGGCTTCCAGATTAGAAGAGGATCTCTGCTGTCCCGTCTGCCATGATGTCTTCAGAGATCCTGTCMTTCTGTCATGTAGCCACAGCTTCTGTAAAGACTGTGTGAAGAGCTGGTGGAAAGACAAAGAAGTAAAAGACTGTCCACTTTGTAAGAGAAGATCTTCAATGAACCACCCACCTATTAGCCTGGTGTTAAAGAACCTGTGTGAGACCTTCTTACAGGAGAGAGATCAGAGCTCTTCACATGCTCTCTGCAGTCTGCACTCAGAGAAACTCAGACTCTTCTGTCTGGACCATCAGCAGCCAGTGTGTSTYRTCTGCARAGATTCAGAAAAACACACCGACCACAGATTYAGACCCATCGATGAAGCTGCACAACAACACAAGAAGMAGCTTCAGGAAACTCTGGAGCCCCTGAAGAGGAAGTTAAAGTGTTTTCAACGTGTTCAAGAAGMGTTTRAACRAACAGCAGGACACATTCAGGTCCAGGCCGGACGCACAGAGACGCAGATCAAGGAGCAGTTTAAAAAGCTTCACCAGTTTCTGGAGGAGGAAGAGGAGGCCAGGATGGCTGCACTGAGGGAGGAAGAGGAGCAGAAGAGTCGGGTGATGAAGGAGAAGATTGAGGCTCTGAGCAGAGACATAACGGCTCTTTCAGACACAATCACAACCACAGAGGACGAGCTGAGAGCTGAAGACGTCTCGTTCCTGCTCAACTACAAGGCTGCGGTGGAACGAGTCCAGCAGCGCCCCCTGCTGGAGGATCCACAGCTGGCCTCAGGAGCTCTGATAGATGAGGCCAAACATCTGGGCAACCTGAGCTTCAACATCTGGAACAAGATGAAGGACCTGGTCTCCTACAGTCCTGTGGTTCTGGACCCAAACT